CCTTGAATCATGCAAAGGGTTCTTTGCATCATGAAGATGTTCTTCAGATTGATGGAGAAAGTGTTGTATATGCTTCTATATAGCACCATGTTCTTCAATAAAGAACCCTCGAAGAACCGTCTTTGGTTCTAGCTTACAGTGGAAGCTTATGACGTTAGCATGTCAATTATAGACCGATGCAGTGCATCTTTGCGTAATGTCACAAATACTTTTCCATTGTTGTCTTTTTGTCATAATTCGGAAACTCCAGTTACCCTTTGCATTTGTGTTAAAGTTCCCTGTTAAACAGACCAACAGAAGCAGTGCAAAGGAACCTGATATCAGGGGGCCACCCTGATGGACGCTCTACTGATCTGAGAGCTGTGACCTACAGCTTTGTCCAAGCTGCCCAGTGTCTGGAGGAGCATTATGGATGGGCAGAGGTGTGAAATGGAAAGACTCCCTTACATTAGCCAGGGCTGTTTTGAGTTAGGGGGCCAGTGTGAGAGGATTTAAGTCAAGTTGTGGGTCAAGTCTGACTTCTGAGTGCCAAATTTCTTTATCAGCAAATCCTAAGTAATTAGAAACAGAAGAATTAAGGCTAGAGATTAGAGTGATATGACCATCTGCAGTGCGGGTGCCTGCGGATCAGCAGATACGGTGGGATAATCCAGCTCCAATCCGTTTATATTGGACTCAGCCCTACTTCTTCAATCCTATTAGATCAGTTACACCCACAGCACCACTGTCTGGCATCAAAGTGATGCCTCGGACAGCCATGTGAACATGTGGAACCGGACGAAATATTCTGTCCTACAGTAGCCTGCAATTTACCTGCTGTTTACACCAATCAGGCATAACATCATGACCACCTCCTTGTTTCTACGCTCATTGTCCATTTTATCAGCTCCACTTACTATATAGGTGCACTTTGTAGTTCTATAGTTACAGACTGTAGTCCATCTGTTTCTCTGATACTTTGTTAGCCCCCTTTTACCCTGTTCTTCAGTGGTCAGGACCCCCATGGACCCTCACAGAGCAGGTACTATTTGGGGGGTGGGTCATTCTCAGCACTGCAGTAACACTGACGTGCTGGTGGTGTGTTAGTGTGTGTTGCGCTGGTCTGAGTGGATCAGACACAGCAGTGCTGCTGGAGTTTTTAAACACCTCAGTGTCACTGCTGGACTGAGAATAGTCCACCAACCAAAAATATCCAGCCAACAGCGTCCTGTGGGCAGCGTCCTGTGACCACTGATGAAGGACTAGAGGATGCCCAACACAAACTGTGCAGCAGCAGATGAGCTATCGTCTCTGACTTTACATCTACAAGGTGGACTGACAAGGTAGGAGTGTCTAATAGAGTGGACAGTGAGTGGACACAGTGTTTAAAAACTCCAGCAGCACTGCTGTGTCTGATCCACTCACACCAGCACAACACACACTAACACACCACCACCACATCAGTGTTACTGCAGTGCTGAGAATGATCCACCACCCAAATAGTACCTGCTCTGTGAGGGTCCATGGAGGTCCTGACCACTGAAGAACAGGGTAAAAGGGGGCTAACAAAGTATCAGAGAAACAGATGGACTACAGTCTGTAACTGTAGAACTACAAAGTGCACCTATATAGTAAGTGGAGCTGATAAAATGGACAATGAGCGTAGAAACAAGGAGGTGGTCAGAATGTTATGCCTGATCGGTGTATTTTAAAGTCCAGTAGCTCTCCAGATAGTTCAAAGCTGCTACCCTGCTGAAAAAATTCATTAGAAACCAAAACTATCTCTGCTGGTATCCAGTGGTCAGTAATGGTATTTTGTGTCAATTGATGGTTTCCTAATTGGATCTAAAGGTGTCCTACAGGATCAGGAAACTAGTGGTCTTTAAAGGTAACCATTAAGCCTATTTCCATTAGTAAGCAAAACTTTGCTCTTGAAGTGCCTGGTCATCCTCTGTTTGAACTTGGGTGGTCCTTTTCTAGGAGCCGTGGGTCCACTGAATGCTCGTACTGGACAGCTGGACACATCACTGACGCTAATGCTGCTGTCACAACTGCTGCTGCTGCTGTCCCCATGCTATTCCCATTGGGGGCTAAACGGTCAGGTTTTAATCCTCATGTTTCTGATGGTCAGGGTCAGCAACAACACACCAAGCAAAACAGACATTTGTGAACTTAAACAGGCAAAACAAAAACAGTGGGATGTAACGAGGACGCAGAATGAAACAGAGGGCTTGTGGTGTCTGAAGTGGTGGATATTTCGACTGTTTATGATTCAGAATCACTGAAGTGTCCCCTCGGGAGAATATTGAACTGGGCCATGGCTGCTCATCTGACAAAATAGAGCACAGTATGACCACTGCTGGTCAAGGTCATCTTCCAGCTCCCTCTTTCCCACAGTCCCTTCAACTTGGACAGCGTAAATTTTGCAGGAGTTCAAAGGGCTTCTTATTTCAGATCAAAGGGTTTGTGTGGTGACTCGTGCAGAATGGTGAAAAAGTCTAAAACTTTTCTTTTAGACTTTCCCCTGTATTGCTATATGGTGGAATTGGCATTCCAAGTGGTTGCTAGGGCATCGCTAGGCGGTTGTTAGGTGCTGTGGTATCTGTGGTGGATACCAGGGACTTACTATGGTGTTCCAGATTGTTGCTATAGTGTTGCTAAGGGGTTGCTATAGTATTCCAGTTGGTTGTTAGGTGCTGTGGTATCTGCGGTGGATGCCAGGGGGTTGCTATGGTGTTCCAAATTGTTGCTATAGTGTTGCTAAGGGGGTGCTCTAGTATTTCAGGTGGCTGTTAGGTGCTATGGTATCACTGGTAGACACCAGGGGGTTGCTATGGTGTTCCAGGTTGTTGCTATAGTGTCGCTAAGGGGTTGCTCTAGTATTCCAGGTGGCTGTTAGGTGCTATGGTATCACTGGTAGACACCAGGGGGTTGCTATAGTGTTCCAGGTTATTGCTATGGTGTTGCTAAGGGGTTCCTCTAGTATTCCAGTTGGTTGTTAGGTGCTGTGGTATCTGCGGTGGATGCCAGGGGGTTGCTATGGTGTTGCTTAGGGGTTGCACTAATATTCCAGGTGGTTGTTAGGTGCTATGGTATCTGTCGTAGATGCCAGGGGCTTACTGTGGTATTCCAGATTGTTGCTATAGTGTTGCTAAGGGATTGCTCTAATATTGCAGGTGGCTGTTAGGTGCTATGGTATCTCTGGTAGATACTAGGGGGTTGCTATGGTGTTTCAGATTGTCGCTATGGTGTTGCTAAGACATTGCTCTAGTATTCCAGGTGGTTGTTAGGTGCTATGGTATCTCTGGTGAATGCCAGGGGGTTGCTAAGGTGTTCTAGGTTGTTGCCAGGATAATGTTAGGTGAATGCTGTGGTATTCCAGGTGGTTGCTAGAGTGTTGCTATGTGCTTACTGTGGTATTTCTCATGGTTTCTGGGAGCTTGCTATTCCAGATGGTTGCTAGGATATTGCTAAGTGAATGCTATGATATCCCAGGTGGTTGCTAGAGTGTGGCTAATGTGCTTGTGTCATGGTGACAGATAGCGGCTATACAAACAAGCATTCCACCATTTATTCCTATGGGAAAAAAAATTGATTTTGAACAATTGCTCTGCGGAAAACGTACATCCAATTAACAAAGCAAAAATAGGCTCTAACCATGAAAATAAAGTGTCAATATGCCCATTAAGTTTCTACTAGTTCAGGTTGTGAATATGTAGTTTGTATTCTCTGTAGACACCGAAGTCAAACGAAATGTTAAGACACTTTTATTACAAAAGCATAATTATTCAATCTTTCACATACGATTGTCCAAGAAAACCTGACAAAAGAAGCTGTTACACATTAAGGCTAACTCATTAAAGGCTAATGCAGTCACCAGTAATAAAAGGAAAGGCATTTTCTGTCAAACATCCTGTACAAACATCTATTCCAACTAATTTCAGTGCAGGAATGTTTTTGAAATACACAGTAGCAGGTAGTATAGACATCAAGCAATCTCCACACATATGTAAATGCAGGGTTACATAAGACACGACTAGTATTTTAGTTCATTACTGTGTAGACCAGTAAACTTCACCAAACACAGTAGTGTGTCACTACGACAGCGTTTTAGGGCCACTGTTAATAAAAATAAAAATAGTAGACTTTGAGAATAAAGTCGTAATGTTTCGAGAAAAAAGTCGTCATATTTCGAGAAAAAAAGGAGAATTACAATGTTAAAGTGTCATTAATACCAGGAAAGGTCGCAATATCGTGGCCAAAGGCTTTGCGAAGGGAAAGCAGCACCCTCCTCGTGTTAAATGAGGGGCGGTGAGTTGGTGGAGTTCTACTTTCATATCGATTCACCCATAAAGAAACACTCAGTCTCCCTGTCTCTCCTGCACATCAGCACCAGCCTGTTATTAGTATAAGAACCGGCTGAAACGGCGGAGCAGGAAACTGTGTTTATCTAGAATAAAGAGCCAGACGGACTCGGAGGAAACTGTCTGTCTGTGTCTGTTGAAGGAGAATCTCAGGCAGGGTCGTCTACATGGCTATCGGGGCTCCATCTCCCCCCATTCAAAGAGGGCATGAAGTTTCACAGACAGTGAGAATGATGATCAAAATGATCCACAGAGAGACAGGAGAGAGTGGAGCTCCGGCGCCAGTACAGCAACCGAGACCCTGACACATTATGGCAGCCCCCCTACAGTTAGACCTCTTTATCCTCCAAATATTACGACTTTATTCTTGAAATATCTATTTTTATATTTATTAACAGTGGCCCTAAAACACTGTGAATACTGACAAACTGAATGATGCATTGAATTGTTACAAGTGAATTAAATCTACTCTTTTTTCCAGTGCTGAAAGAACTACTCATAGGCTGTTGGATCATTCCACCCAACCTACCAGCTCGCTGTCCTGCCATGTGTGCCTAAACAGGACAGCGAGCTGGTAGGTTGGGTGGAATGAGCCAGAGAGCCATGATAACCAGCAGCGTCCCTGCTGGAGGACTGAGGGTCAGAGACTGATCTACAGTAAGGAGTCGAGGTGAACGGTTCAGAGTGAGTGGGTTAGATGATGCCGTACTGAGCCAGCTCGTGCAGCTCCAGGTGGCTGAAGGCCTCCCAGGGACACACCACGGTGTAATCTGAGGGAGAAATGGACTCCAGTCAGCCAGACGTCACAGAATAGCCCTCGGCAAGAGGGACTGAAATGAAACCATGTGATATAATGAGATGTTTCCTTCTGTCCTACACTGTACTTACCGGTTCCAAGACCCTCCATTCCAGGGATTTCATCTCCAAATCTAAAGGAGAGAAGAAATAAAGAATGAAATATTGTGTGATGTCGCCCTGCGGTGGCCTGCGACCTGTCCAGGGTGTTTCCTGCCTTCCGCCCATTGACCACTGGAATAGGCTCCAGCTCCCCCCGTAACCCAGAAGGATAAGCGGCTTAGAAAATATGTGTGTGTGTGTGTGTGTGTGTGTGTGTGTGTGTGTGTATTGTGTGATGAAGCTCAAATCCTGTGACATCTCAAATTTGGTGGACTGTCATAATTTGGACGTAACCCGTCCGATTCTCTCTATTACTGCACGTTCGTCAGATTCATTATATCGTTATACAAAAGGTATAATGAGACAAAGATAACCAGCATGTGAATTGCTTGTGTGAAAAAGTAATTGCACCCTTAAAATGACTAGCTTCTTTCAGTGACTTTTAGCAGCAACACCTGCAAAAAACATTTCTTATAATTTTATATCAGCTTTTACACTGGAGGAATCTGAGCCTATTCTTCTTTGCAGCACTGCTTTAATTCTGATGTAATGGTCATTTTTTTGAGTATGAATAGCTCATCTGAGGCCCTGTCACAGCTCCTCTGTCGGGGCAAGGTCAGGACTTTGACAAGGACACTTCGAACCATTATTCATGTTTCTTTCCAGCCATTCAGGTGAGGATTTGCTTATCTGTTTGGGATCATTGTCTTGCTGCACAACCTGATTATGTTCTTGGACAGATGAACAGAATTCAGAGCAGAATTCACGGTTCCTTCAATAATGGCGTGTTGTCCAGGTCCCCAGACACCTCCACACTACCACCACCATGTTTGAATGTTGGTGTGACGTAAACGCAGAATATGAATTTTAAAGAATGAGCTACGGGTTCTCTCTGATATTACATCACATATTACAAGAGGGTAAATATTTTCCACAGCATTATCTGATCATGGAAGTTGTGTCCAGCTCCAGTTCTAGAGTTTAGTCCAGCACAGTTTAGTGATTTCCCTGCTCAAACAGACCTAATTCAAATCATAAGTTACTACGTTACTAGGTTATTACATAGTTATTAGGTTTATAGTAGGTGAGTTTGAGCAGGAAATCAACAGTCTGTGCTGGACTACAACGCTGGAGTTGATGACCCCTGCTCTGGACCTACCCTTTAACTCCCTTCTTGGGTGGTTTGCTCTTGAAGTGCCTGGTCATCCTCTGTTTGAACTTGGGTGGTCCTCTTCTGGGAGTAGTTGGCCCATTGACTGCTCGTGTTGGACAGCTGGACACGTCGCTGACACTAATGCTGTTGTTGCTGCTGCTGCTGCTGTCTGAGGTCATCTCTGCCCAGCGTTCACCTGCTGGACTAAGGAGAGTCACTTTACACCGATACATATTGAACAAAGTAGTTACTGAATAGTTCATAGTATATATTGAATAATTCATAATAGTTACTGTATAATTCATTGAGGATATTTAATAATTCATAGTGGATACTGAATAATTCATAGTAATTACCAAATAATTAAATACTGAATAACTCATAGTAGACACTGAATAATTTGTAATAGTTACTGATAAATCTATAGCAGATACTGAATAATTCATAGTGCTGAATAATAAGTCTTAAGATTAATAACTGAATAATAGGCAGACAGTTCAGGAGTTTAGTACGAGTGCTGACTGATACGTAGTGAACATATGCAGTAGGTGGTCTTACCTCGGTCTGTGTGGTGTTGGTGAGGAGGTCCCTGCGTGGTTGTGTAGGTCTGCTCTCTCGCCCTGCCTCTCTCACTGTGTCTGAGCAGGTAGAGATCCTGCGGGTTTAAATACGCTGTGGCTGGACGGTGTTTGCGTCAGCGGCCTCCAGCAGCAGACATGGACAGAGGGGCTCAGCTATCACAGCCGGACACGACAGAACACAGCGGATTACACCTCACACTCTACAGCCAACACCGCCCTCATTCATACTGACCACACACTGCATCTGTTCACTATGAGAGAGAGAGAGAGAGAGAGAGAGAGAGAGAGAGGGAGAGAAAGAAAGTGAGAAAGATGGAGAGAGAGAGAGAGAGAAAGAAAGAGAGAGAGAGAGAGAGAGAGAGAACGAGAGAGACAGACAGAGAGCCAGAGAGAGGGAGGGAGAGAAAGGGAGAGAAAGAAAGTGAGAAAGATAGAGAGAGAGAGAGACAGAGAGCGAGAGAAAGGGAGGGAGAGAAAGGGAGAGAGAGGGAGAGAAAGAAAGTGAGAAAGATAGAGAAAGAGAGCGAGAGAAAGGGAGGGAGAGAAAGGGAGAGAGAGAGGGAGAGAAAGAAAGTGAGAAAGATAGAGAGAGAAAGGGAGAGAAAGAAAGTGAGAAATAGAGAGAGAGAGCGAGACAAAGGGAGGGAGAGAAAGGGAGAGAGAGGGAGAGAGAGGGAGAGAAAGAAAGTGAGAAAGATAGAGAGAGAGAGGGGCAGAGAGCGAGAGAAAGGGAGGGAGAGAAAGAAAGTGAGAAAGAGAGAGAGAGACAGAGAGGGAGGGAGAGAGAGAGAGAAAGGGAGAGAAAGAAAGTGAGAAAGAGAGAGAGAGACAGAGAGGGAGGGAGAGAGAGAGAGAGAGAAAGGGAGAGAAAGAAAGTGAGAAAGAGAGAGAGAGAGACAGGCAGACAGAGCGAGAGAGAAGGAAGGGAGGGAGAGAGAAAGAGAGAGAGAGGATGTGCCACTAATAGTCTTCCTGCCACTGAGATGAATTACCCCTATTAACCCCCAGTCACCTTCTGGCAGGTACTGTCCAGTCAGCGGCCTAAACAGCCTTCAGCAGTTCTTCTGTCCAGCCTGGCCTGATGCAGCTGCAGTGGAGCGGAGGTGCGTTCTAGAGATTACATAACATCAGAAGAACAGCAAATATTGACACATTTTGTTTTTGCCCTTTCAGCTTTATGATTACTGTTATGTGTTTGTTCTAAATAATAGGAATAATAACAATAATAAGAAGAACGTTGTAGATAACAGTTACATAAACTGGTTAGATATTGATTTATTTAAGAAAAACAATAACAATAGTAATATTAATAGGGTAATATTTCCTTTTACTAGGTAGTAATCCAGCTAAGTTTGCAGTACAAGTACCAAATGCCCAACAGGTTCTAGATATTTCCTGGGTAAGCCATACAAATTCCACAGTACTGTGTAATTATTTTGGACAAAAAGTACAGAATAGTTATTAAATGTAAAAAGTACACAAATAATTTACAAACATTCTTAGGTTTTAGGTTAACTTGTTTATTATGTATAAACTAAACTGAGTTTGGGCTGTAAAAGTAAGTAATGAGTCTTACTGTGGTTTTACCGAGTTCTTAACATTTACTTCAGAATGCAGAAAAATGTAAAAGTTGATAGAAAACATAATTGTAAATTGAATTTTAGACCCTAATTTTAAGTTTCAGCCATACAGTTTTTGTGAAGAATTTAAGATGTTTTGCTCAAGTGGCCACACAGCAGCAACACACTGGATCCCACCTGTAACACCAGAGTAACTGCTTAGCGACACCCTAGGAACCACCTGGAGTATCATAGCAACCACACAGTAACACCCTAACACTCACCTGGTGTACCGTTCCAAATGCTTAGCAACACCCTAACCACTTATTAATATTGTAACAACCACTTGGAACACCACAGCAACCAGCAACCCCCTAGGAACACCATAGCAACCACCTGGGATATCAAATCAACCACCTGGGAAAACAGGAAATGCCTAGCAACACCCTAGAAACCACCTGGAGTATCATAGCAACAACACAGTAACATCCTAGCAATTACCTGGGATGCCACTGTAACCACCTAGCAACCATGGAATACTTTAGTAAACACCTAGCAAGACTCTAGCAACCACCTGGAATACTATAGTAACCAAAAAGCAACACCCTAGCAACCACTTGGGATACAATTGCGACCATCTTGGAACATTGTAGGTACCACCTGGAATACCAGAGCCACCACATAGTAACACCCCAACACTCACCTGGTGTACCATTCCAACTGCTTAGCCACACCCTAGCAACCACTTATTAATACCGTAGCAACCACTTGGAACACCATATGCAATCACCTAGCAACCACCAAAGATACCAAAGCAAACATCTAGCAACATTCCAGCAACCCCCTAGGAACACCATAGCAACCACCTGGGATATCATAGCAACCACCACAGGAACTGCACGTTTCAAGTCATTATTATTGTGGTCAATAATAATAATAATCCACTAAATCCACTAAATTAATTTTAGTATCCATTGTTTGGACATGCAAACACACACGTACACCCACCCAGGTCGTCTGAGGAGACCCTATAAGCTCCTTTACTGGAGAGCTAATCCTCCAGAGAGGTGTCTGAACACTCCTCATGTTCTTCATTCACTGCACACATTGAGACTTTTCTCCTTTGAATATTGTAAATTATTATTTTATCATTCTTCCCGTTTCATTAAACTTATGAAACTTGAGTGTTATTCATTTTCATTCTTGCAAACAAAATTAAATGCCAGGAGTGAATGGGGACCAAAAAGGATTTACTGTGACCAATAACATTGAAATATAATGACCCCCCTCCACACACACACACACACACACACACACACACACACACACACACACACCGCAGTGCTGCTCCTGACCCTTACAGACTCTCTGCACATTCCTGCTTTGTTATTTACTGTCCTGCAGCAGGTGAGACTGAGGCGCAGTGAGGGACTCTGAGCTGTTGCTCGTTCCTCTAATGCACTCACAGTTAATTCTCTGCTCAGATGTGATCGATGCTGGTTTAGACAGGATTACGCAGATCACATTACTGACCGGAGCCACCAGAACCTCCTACACTGACACCAGCAGGTCCAACAGAACCGCACAGGAGCACCAGCAGATTTGACCCAAACAGCGGACAGATATTCAGATATCTGTCTGTCTGTCTGTCTATCTATGTCTGTCTATCTCTCTGTCTGTCTATCTGTCGGTCTGTCTGTCTATGTATCTGTCTGTCTGTCTATGTCTCTATCTGTCTGTCTGTCTATCTATCTGTCTGTCTGTCTATCTCTCTGTCTGTCTGTCGGTCTGTCTGTCTGTCTATATCTCTGTCTGTCTGTCTGTCTATTTATCTGTCTGTCTGTCTATCTATCTGTCTGTCGGTCTGTCTGTCTGTCGGTCTGTCTGTCTGTCTATATCTCTGTCTGTCTGTCTATTTATCTGTCTGTCTATCTGTCCGTCCGTCTGTCTATTTATCTGTCTGTCTGTCTGTCTATCTGTCCGTCTGTCTGTCTATCTATCTATCTACAACCCTAAATCAGAAAAAGTTGGGACAGTATGTAAAATGCAAATTTAAAGGCAGTGATCTTTAAAATCTACTTTGATCTGCATTTCATTGCAAACAGAATGAACACAGGATATTTCATCCCGTGAGCTCCAGACCAAAGATGACGACGTCTTTTCCAGGGACGGCCTGCATGTTTCAACAAGACAATGCAAAACCACATTCTGCACACATTACAAAGGCACAGCTGTGGAGAAAGAGGATGCGAGTGCTGGACTGGCCTGCCTGCAGTGCTGACCTGACCCCAGTAGAGAATGTGGTGCATTATAAAACGCAAAACACGACAACGAAGACCCCGCACTGTTACACACCTGTACACCTGTCTGCAGGAAGACTGGGACAAAACTAGACCTGACACGCTTCATCACTCGGCGTCTTCATACGTCCCTTTTTTCGTCATCCCTTTTTTAAAATTTGAAATGTATTTTTTACATTTTGAATTTGAAATATAAATATGATGTAGATGTAAATTTGATATATATATATATATATATATATATATATATATATATATATATATATATATATATGTTGCTGCGGGAGAGAGAGCAGGTGGTGGTTGGTGCTCTGGCCTGGGGCTACCCTTCCTCTGTCTGCTCTCAGTGCTTCAGCTCCTCTGTTTGATCCGAATCTCGAGATTGAAGTGAAAAAGTCTTCACACCTTCATCTTTCGCCTCTCCGCCTCATGTTTCACACCAGCCTCTGACTTCACATTCTGCACGTGCTCACTCTTCAACTCATTTCCATCTTTTTGTACTCAGCAGTACTCCTCATGTGCCTTACAGGGGAACTCCACCAATCTGTCAAAATTTCTATCAAATTAAAAGGTCATTCAGAGTGGTTTGAAGTGAAATGTAAGAATTGTGATAGGAACCAGACGTCCACCTCTAAAAGCTCCCTCACAGAAAGTTACTGCATGAAATGGTTATTTATTCACTGACTGATGATTGAGACAGCTTTGATAACAGCTTTGAGAAGATTTTCACCTCAAACATGTGTTTTTACAGCCATTCATGGTGGAGGGATACATGCAGGGCGCTGTGAGGCAAAAAAGTCCCCAAAGAAAACTTATTATTTCAGATTTTCCACTATTTTATCATCAACATTCCATATAAGCTCACGTGTAGGTTCACTGGTGGTTTTGGATGGTAAATAAAATGGCTATATTTTTTGGTTTTGAGGTTTTCCTGCATTGTAAAAAAACAGATTTCTGGAGATAAGAAAGCGTCTTAACTCTAGTCAATGTAACTAATTTCTCTTAAGGAAATTGTTGTAATAATATTACGAGATTATTCAATTTTTTCTGTATGATTTTAGCTGTTTTAAGTAATTTCATCGTATGAAAGTGTCTTATTAAAGTATCCTGTAAGGGGTTAATCATTATTTTGTAAAATCAGCAAAATTATCTGCATTATTTATTAAAACGTATTAAAAAGTAAAATAGTCTGCCCATCGAATGATGCCGTCACTAGCTAACTGACTAAAAATTTAAGGAAATAAGCCAAATAATTGTATAATATTCTTACAGCAGTCTCTTAACGAGTAATATTACATATACAGACTACTTTTAAGATGTTTTCATTTGCTAAGATATCATTTTCTCCCAGGCCGAAGCTCAATCACACCATTAGCTGGTGATTAAAGGAGCAGTTTGGCGAAAAAGCAAATTTACACAGTTTTCCAGTTACCCCGAATGGAGTCGATCAGCTAAAATGTTTGGAGAAATTTTGCTTCCTGTGTTCAGCGCTGGAGCTATGAGGCTAAATTTGCTAAGAAACTCAAAAAAGTCAATAGTCACCCAAATCTGTTCTGTAAATACATCCCCAAAACTTCTCTGAACTCCCTCAACCTGACCTCATCCAGGTCTTCATTAAGGTGGCACAGACGTGTCGTTATGATTTAAGACTTAAGCACTGGCACGCTTCGTATAATTGAAGGAAGGATGAATGGACAAATGTAGCGAAACATTCTCTATGATAAAAATCTGCTGCCATCTACCAGGATGATGAAGATGAAACAAGGGTGGACATTTCAGCAAGACAATGATCCCAAACACACAGCCAAGGAGAAAGAAAATAAAGCTGCTAGAATGGCCCAGCCAATCACCTGACCTGAATCCAATTGAAAATGTATGGAAGGAACTAAAGCTCAGAGTCCATAGAAGGAGCCCATGGAGTGGACACAGTGTTTTTAAACACTGTGTCCACTCACTGTCCACTCTATTAGACACTCCTACCTTGTCGGTCCACCTTGTAGATGTAAAGTCAGAAACGATAGCTCATCTGCTGCTGCACAGTTTGTGTCGGTCATCCTCTAGTCCTTCATCAGTGGTCACAGGACGCTGCCCACAGGACGCTGCTGGCTGGATATTTTTGGTTGGTGGACTATTCTCAGTCCAGCAGTGACACTGAGGTGTTTAAAAACTTCAGCAGCACTGCTGTGTCTGATCCACTCAGACCAGCACAACACACACT